CGCCCTGGTTCGCCGCTCCCAGGGCTTCTTCCCGCCTAGCGCCTGCCCTCCTGTGCCGACACCTCCACCTCGAGGGGTAGGTGGTGATGGGAGGGTTGCGGTGGCACCGTCCCTTTCCCCTGCCACCACTTATTTATTTCCTTTCGGGGGTGGAGAGTCGTCAGGCAGGGGCAGGGTTGGGATTAAACCACGGTTCCTCTGTTCTGTTCATTTTGTTGCGGCGTGAAATAAAGCAATGTAAAGAAGAGCAGCAGGGGCACGTGTGGATCCTCTTGTGGGCCTCGCGTGCCAGTGCTCTGCCCCAGAAGTAGTGCTGGCACAGCTCTCCCGGTGCAGCACCCTGTGGGTGACAGCCTGAGGCCCAGGGCAGCTGGGGACCCAGGCAGGCCCTGGAAGGACTTTGGTACCTTTGGGCTCAGCCTGACTCCTGGGTGCCACGTAGGTTGAAGCCAGGGCGAGAGGTACTGTGTCTGGACCTGGGATAACCTAGCACCCAGTGCTGGGAGATATTAGGAGTAACGTGTTGGCCTGCCAGTATTTCCTCAAGCAATGAGGATCAGCGAATTCTTTTTCAGTAAGTCTAATGGAGTGGGTTACATCAAACGCCCAGTGGTTTGTGCCTGCATGGAGCAGGACCACCCCTGGTTTGGGAGGAGGCAGGCGTGGTGGGGTCAGGGCTCCCCTGCAAGCTCAGTCCTGACGCCGGGGACCCTCACAGCAGACAGAAGCAGGGTGGGAAGAGGAAACGCTGTCTTTAGCAAGCAGAGCAAGACCCGGGCAGCTTGTTTCTCTTGCCACCACCTCTGTGACAGCACCTCCTTTGCCCGCCTTGTCCCTAGCGTGGAGGCAGGGCTGGTAGCTCGTGCTCTTACAGGATCTGGGCCTGTGGCTGGGGACACCTCAACCCTGCAGTCTCACCCTGGCAAAGCTGGGAGGGGGCTGTGCAGCCCACATCCTCCGCAGCCACCCTTGGGTTTTGCTGCAGAAGGTGCCCAGGCAGGTTGAGCTCCTTGTGGGTACCAGCCCTGGCGCTGAGCTGTGGCCTCTGCCCTGGCTTGGTTCCTTCCCTGCGGACAGTGCAAGTCCCTAAGCGGCGTTCCTGGACTGAAGCAGCCACAGACACTCGGCACGGCCCGGACCCGGGTCTGTGGG